ATGATATGTGTATCCATTTTCTTGCAACTAAATTAGTGGTAATCTGACCATGGTTGCTGTAAGTAACGATGAGTTGTGTGATCTACTGATTACTTCGCATACGATTTTGCTGAAATTAATGTAAACATTATTATAATTATTGAATGAAATTTTGAATATAATTAATAAAATGTATTGCAAACATTAGTCCAGATAAGCAATGACATTTTTTTTATAACCAGATATTATAATAAAAGGATTAAATTGCCTACTTCAGTTCGAATTTGTTGACTGGTATTTCAGGTGTTCAGGTGGGGCAAAACAAACATGCCATTGAAAAACTTGAGTTTATTAAAAATGTTAGTAAATTTTGGGAGTCATGCTTTACCGTGCGCTATAATCAATTATATTGAAGAGCGTAATAGCGAGGGAACACTGTACTATCAATACTGTCAGACACCCTGTATAGGATCTAACATCTACAACAGAAGGAAAAGAAATTAGTAGTTCATAGGAATATGTTGAAAATGTTCATTGGGGCACATGCACTAGTACTAGGCATACAGGCACAATATCCTAGGAAACTAAACATGAAATTACAAAGAAATCTGACAGCTAAGAGATCACTGATGCGTGTGATTTGTAAAGATTTCTTTGATGATGTCACAACCAGTGACGTGTGTGCTTCATCTGGGGAGACTGTGTTGCAGTCAGATGCATGTGATGGTTTGAGGGTGCATGTCATCCCCGGCATGTTGGTGTCTGCGGAAGAAGCGTCAGCTGGGCATGCTGGCTGACAGTAAGCTGTGATAAAGTTAAGAATGTGTGTCAGAGGTTAACCATATTAACTTGTTTAAAGTTTTAAGAAAATACAAAGACATTTGCAAGATGACAGAAATTTATTTACAAAACCTGTTGTTCAATATTAAAACCTTGTAGAAAAGTTTGACTTTTGAATTAAAGGGGCACTGATCTAAAGCAATTCCCCTTGACTGGTTGTTGCCTTTGTTATTGTTTTTTCCCCTTGAGTACCCGGATGATACGCAACGCAACTGAACGTGAGAAGAGACTGGGTTACCGTCTGCAAGGACAGCTAAATAAACTTGGAGGCAATATTTGTTTTACTCATTTTTGAACACTGATTGGTTAACCATGATCTATAAGGATTTCGACAAAGGGCGCATGTTGATTAATTTCTTCAGCCTAAACAAACGGACAAAAAGAACGGCGGAGCTCATCGGATGTCGTCATTTGGAAATACAGTGATCCCTCGCTATTGTGCTCTTCGATAAAGCGCTACCTCGGTTACTACGCGCGGTAACGCATGGCTCCCAAAATTTATGTACACTTTTAATACTGAGAGTTTTACACAGACATAATCAGTGTTCGAAATACCTGCCTGCCCGACCGTCCGAGACAGGTTGATTTCAACTCGGGCTGCCAGATTTTCAAATCCCCCTGCCCGATGGTCGGGTTATATTTCATATGTGAAAATATTCTAAATATTTCCCGATGATAAGCATTAATTCACATGTAAAGATGAATGATAAAATGTAACCAAAAAGAAACCCCGTTAGCTTATCCTGGGAAACATATGATTATAGTGGGCAGGTAGGTTTTGGTCAGGGCTGGCAAGTATTTCAGCTAGCCAGTCCTGTGGTCTGGCTGAAATTTTTGGGAGTTTCATACCCTGACATAATTGTATTGTTGTTCGTTGTTCATATGCACATAACGCTTCTAATTGCATAATCAACCGTTTATCGCTGAATGGAGTTCTAATAATCTGTTTGAAAACATCCGCGGCAAGTCCCGGAAATACGATTGTTCAACTAGTTAACTTTTCACACTATACATCCTTTGATCTTAGAAGCGCATGCATGCAATAAAAGAGAACCACAAGCGAAGTTTATATTCTTAATTAGTGGGCAATCCAATTTGAGGCGACACTGTCACACACATGTAGTTGCTGTCACAACACGGCGGTCATTCATTTCATAATCGCGCTTTCGTAACATCACCTGGTTTTTTTCCGTAGATATCACAAGCGATTTCATTGGATTAAAATTTGTTTCTAATGACGCTTTCTTGCCGAAATCTGCTACAAGTTTTGTGATTGGTCAATTTTGAGCACGTGACCTCAGGCAGCCAATCAAATTATTGCATTATAGTTGGCGAAAGATTTTTGTTAAATCGTGTTATTCTGAACGTTTTAAGCAGGAAATCACGATATATATTAAAAATATGGAACTTCGTGAATGTATCGTGCTAGGTTACGAGCTGTGACAAAGATTTTTCATGCATATAGTTTTGCATTAAACGTTGTGTCCGAGCCGAGAATTCAAGGCGACGAAAGCCGAGATGTCATTTGACTTACATTACACGCGATCGCACGAAACGATGGAAATAATAACTTAGATGTAAGTATGATTACTTTTAGATATATTTTTGTTGATTTTATTTATCACTTTGTATAATATATTTAAAGATTTGCTTAAAACGTCTTTATTTTGCTCTTTGACATGTTCGATGCGGACCCGTTGTTGAAATGTGTGTCCGAGAATTTTATTTTCAATAACATCGCGGGAAATAGTGAATAATTTTTTAATTTATCGATAAAAAATGATAAATTGAAATGGAATACGTATTTCAGACATTGTGAAATGTGACAGATTTAATAAATGAATGATATTACAGGTAGATCTAGGTCCATAAAAATATATACTATTTTGACGTGACGTGAGATAAACACATATTGATGATTTGAGATTTGCCAAGCGCGCTCCCCCGCCTCGGCCTCGGTTAAACGGCTCATCATCTATAACGGCCACCAATTGTTTGGACCCCATTGGTAGCGTTGTAGCGAGGGACCACTGTACCCCTGATTGTTATAGTTTAATAATAAAAAAAAGTATCCATGCAGTGAAAGAATTTTCAGATTTCGGATTGTGTCGATAATACGATTACTACTCCCTTGTTGTCATCCACGTTTTCTGGCATAACCCTACACTTGTGTATTTGTTTGGCAGCCCAGCAAGAGATGAATGATCAGTTGATTTACTTTTTTGTAAATCAACGGATTGTTCCTAGTCATCAAAGGATTAACAGAAAATATGTTGATTGATTAATCACTGTTATCTTGCATAGTGGATATGTCAAAAGTGAGTGTTTACATGTCTAGGTTTACTAAAACAAAGGGAATACACTCATATCCTTGCGTGAAGTGCCGATGTAAAATCAACATACTTTTTTCAAAGGGTTAACCGATAATACGTTGATTGATTGCTCATTGTTATCTTACTCAATGGATTTTTTTAGGAACCGTGGACGTTATGAAAATAGTTGTCACGTGGGCTTTCTCAGCCGACTTTTGAGACTTGACACCTATGTGAAACACCTGAAACAATCTAGGTGATCAGTTGAGAAACGAACACGGGTTATGATATCCCAAAACGATATATATATTTTAAAATATTTGATTGTTACAGAGACACATTTACATCGAATAGGTTTCTTTGTACAGCTGCAGACATGTGGGATATTGTTCCTTTGTGTGGATATTCACGGATACATTCCTCGAACAAGGAAGCTGCCTAAAATTATACACATAAATTTGGTAGGTTGTAATTATGATATTTGCATTTTGTTTTCTTCATTTGCTGTAGCATTGGACAGATTCATTCTTGTTCCTCTACGTCTTGGTTGGGAAATTCTTCAATGCGCGAAAGACGTTGTTTTCACAAGTCTTTTCCTTTGTAAACATGTATATATTAGTCAATTTGTAAAATGTGATTCTCTCAGGCAATTTATAAAATGTGTAAATATTTCAGTCATTTTGACTGAAAAGTCTGGCCATTTCTTTAACAGATTGACTAAAATTGATTAAGACGAGGGCTTAAAGGGCTTAATAACAAAATAGAAATGTACTTTTCATAGTAACATTTTCAGTCTCTTGGTGATGATGTTAAACATAAAAATGCTTGGAATTTGTTGTCATAATAACACAGATGGACATATTTTTCAGTCAATTTGTAAAATAACTGAATATTCAGGCGTTTAATAAATTTTCTAAATTAACATTTTGCACATTTTGACTGTAAAAATACAAACACGATAAAATAAGCAATGCTCAGGAGACATATTTACTTTGTGTTGCAAGTCAAAATAGTGTCAACGAAAATCGCACAATTACCAAGCAAGTGACTTATCAAAACTTCGTCACCATTACCGATGCTACTCACAAAGATACCTACATTTCCTTATTATTTCCAAAACTGTATTTCATTTTGTTGATTTCCAAAACTGTGTTTCATTTTGTTGATCAATGTGACCATACGCCCTTATACTACCAATAAAAGTGACAAATGCGCTTACGAATTGCGCAGCACAAGTCGAGAACTGGTCTAGGTTTCTGCTATATCATCCGGGTACTCACGGGAAAAAACAATAACAAAGGCAACAACCAGTCCTGGGGAATTGCCTTAGATCAGTGCCCCTTTAATTTGGGCACCCTACGGTGGATATTGAGCAGGAATAACATGAACTATTTTATATGCTTAAAACCTATCACATCCGTTTGATTTAACATGTGGACATGTTCTTTATGGGAGGGTGTAATGTAAAGTTATATTCTGGCCATATTTTCAAGTGGCCTTTACGTTAGCCTATGACAGAGTTATCTCCCTTTGTTCCACACACTATCACATCCGGTTTTCTTTGATGCTCAAGGTTTGTTTGCATCTTTGCATTCATTACACTCTATGTTGTGTATGTATCATAAGAGATTGTGATGTAATGGTGTGACGTAGGGGGGCTGTTAGTTTTTGGGTAAAGGTGGAGAGAGGTGTGGTGTGTTTTGGAGGGCTAAACCGATTGTGTCTCTGTGTGTTGATTTCACAGCAGACTTACATATATGGCGAATAAATGTACAGATTGTTTCACCCTGTTCTCCTGGGGTAATTCCTACATATACAAGTCAGTGGGTACTAGAAAAGTCAGTGTGTAGTTGAGGGGAAAATTTGTACCTTTAGCTTGGGCCATCTTTGCAACACTCTGAGCCCTTGTGTCAACAATATATCCTCTCCGTCCAATTCCAAGTACAGCATTCAGAAGCTTTTCATCTTCCTTACATCTTCGCCCATTCTGACCTGTGAGAGGCTGACTGCTACGCATGATGACTGCCTGTGTACAGAAATATTGACATAACATCAGTTGAAGCCATCAGTCTGGAAACAGATATCTAATAAAATTATTGATCTTTTATCCTACATAACTCCTTGACAGAAACAAAGAGAGGTCTTGCTGAAGAAGTTGTTTTAACTGGTTGTGTAGCTAACCCTATCACACAGCACCCATGTGACCCCAGAAGTGGTGACATCACTGAACAGCACATTACTGCTAAAACAGCACATCTGAAGGCATTGGTGGAGGCAGCTCTGCGACGGGTGGGCCACTTCAGAGGAAGTAATATGACGCTAAGTGAAGTGGTCCAGAAGGCGCGCCACTCAGCTAAGTCAGGACCATGTTCAAATCCCAGACAGGTCCCGGAAAGAGTGTAACAGTGCCTGGAGTTCCAGAACTTTGGTCATTTTCTGATCTTCCGGAACTGCCAGGAGATTAGGGCCACAAGGTAACTCTCAAGGGTACTACCCTTCATGATGACGTTTGTGACACAGTGGCAGGATCCTTGTGTTTCTCCTTGCAGAAAGTCTCAAAGGAATGCCACTTGTCGTCATTGATGGCCCTGGTGGAGGGTCTGTGCATCAGGGTGATTGCTTTCGAAGCCTGCCCTTTTTGTAAATGGACCAGGATGGGGAAGGAAGGATGTAGGAAGAAGAAGAAGAACTTTTATTTGCATGAAGGCCTCGGGCCCATATACAATTACAGTTCACAATATACCAATTGTTCACAGACGCAACAGTAAAGTAACGTGACATATGACTTATGTCATAATTGAATTGTACTACTTGTTCTTTTTGCATAAGCGTAATATAGGAAAAGTGATAAACTGTTTAAGACTGCTTTTGTTATTACACATAATAGATTTGAAATGGTTCAAGCTAGGATATCCGCAAAGTTTTGCCGGTAAGTATTCTTTTCTGAGATCATTATAACATGAACAAATGAGTAAAATATGAAATTCATCCTCTATACCATTATTACAGACTGGACATATTCGAAAAGACTTTTCTATCGACAGATATCTGCCTTCATTATTCTTCAATTTTAAAAGACCTGCTCTAAATCTTACAATTATGTTTCTACATTTTCTTTCATACAAAACTGAAAGATTTTTTTCAGGTTCTAAAAGACTTTTAAACTCTGCATATAAATGATATCTTGAACTAGAGTTTAAGACTGATCTCCAGTTTTGGTAAAACATGTTTATACAAGTATCCTTAAAAAGTCGTAGAAATGAAAGCTGGTTCCCAACTGTTTGCGATATCCATACAAAACCAAAGCCATGAGATAAAAGAAGTAGACGAATGTTAGAAGCCCATGTATGGCGTCCACAGTTATCTAAATACAATAACATATTATAAGCCTTTTTGGCAATCTGTCTTCATTCATATGAATTAATTTAAGCCAAAACTTAAGTGTTTTAACATAGGAGTTCATGTACAGTGGAAAGCGACCCGTTTCCCCATAGATTATAGCATTTGGGGTTTGTTGTCCTACTTGCAGGAATTTCTTACAGGCTAATAGATGAACTTTTTCCAATTTGTCATATTGCTGAAATCTCCACACTTCAGAGCCATATAAAATTATAGGTTGTATTTGCGAATAGAATATCTTAAAGAACACTGACTTTGAAATAAGATCAATTTTACTTAAAGTTGCAATCAATTCGACCAAAGCTCTTTTTGCTCTTAGTGCTAGATCAGATATACTCTTACTGAATTTTCCTAATGAATAAAAGGGAAACCAAGATATTTGTAGCTTGACACTACCTCAACCTTTTTCCCCCTATAATACCAAATATCCTTTTTTGAAAGCACCCCACCTCGTCTGAATACAACAACTTTTGTTTTTTCCAGATTTACCGTTAAATTCCATTTTTCTGTGTGGGTTTCTAGAATATTCAACTGAGTCTGTAGCCCTGTGACACTATCTGATGTTAAAATAACATTGTCGGCAAACAACAATAACAGTATCTCTATTAAATAAGGGAATAACTGTACACCATGCTTTCCATTAGAAATAACTTCATTTGATAATTCGCTTATGAAATGTGAAAACTGTAATGGACTCAAAATACATCCTTGTCGAAGACCAGTAGGGCAGTCAAAATAATCTGTGAAACTTAGATCACATTTTACACACGAATTAACACTTTTATATAAACTTCTTAAAGCTTTTAACATTTTACTACTTATACCATAAGACATTAAGAAATTCCACAACTTATCATGGTTAACAAAATCAAAAGCCTTTTTAAAATCTACAAATGCCGCATAAAGTTTTGATTTCTTTTTACATAAACATTTCATAAATATGTGGTCAGTGGTTGCATAACCCTTTCTGACCCTTTCTGAAACCGGCCTGTGTTTCTGGTATTCTGTTCTTGATGTTTGCCCATATAGTTAGTCGTTTACTTAAAATAGACGTATAAACTTTACCTATAAAACACTGAGAAGTGAAATACCACGATAGTTATCAGGATTACTTTTCTCTCCTTTTTTATGAACAAGAATAATAATAGCTTTTGACCAAACATCAGGAAAAACACCAGACTCAAATATTCTATTAAATAACACATTCAGAAAGGGCATGACAACATTTTCAGAGACTTTTAACATTTCAATTACCACATCATCTATACCTGAAGCTTTGTCATCTTTCAAATGAGATATAGCATTATGTATCTCTTCATCTGTTATAGTGGAGTCCAATATATACTCTTCCACATTGTTTACCACATTAGCACATTTGGGTTCTAAATTTTCTTCGTTGTCTACATTCGATGAGGAGACATTCTGATCACATAAGATATCAGCATTGAACACATTGCTAAAATGGTTAAACCAAGCATCACTGCTTATATAATTTTGTTTACTACACGGCTTAGATATACCTCGGAGAAGTTTCCAAAACTGTTTTTGATTGGATATAACTGCTGTCAACGCCTTCACAGTCTTTGTCTTAAATTCAAATTTTGACTTTCGGCAGACAAATTTATATCTATTCCTCAAAGTACAGTATTGTATTCTGAATAAGTTTGATTTATATCTCCGAAATAGTCTAAGATATTTCTTAGCTTTACGCTTAGCTATCCTACACTCATAACTGTAAAATCCATTTCTAACATTTTTAGGGTAAACTGTTTTTTTCATACAACTTGCAGCATCTAGCAAAGATGATCTACATTCTGTTGAATCATCCACTTCTAAAGTACTAATGGGTGGCCTATTAAAATATAGCAACAAGGGCATATGTTTTGAATCTAGCCTCTGTTCGACAATGAAGCGAGTGAAGTATTCAAAAAGAGCAGGAGAGGCAATAAAATAATCAACAACACTACAAACTTGCTCAGATACATAAGTAACTTCACCCTGCTCATCCCCCTTGACCCTCCCATTTAAGACATACATGTTGAATGCGAAGCAAAAATCTAACAACATTTTACCAAATCTATTCATAAATGTATCCTTTGAAGATCTCTCCCTGACATGCACAGGTTCCTCCTCGGGGAATCCACTTGTTTCCTCATCATTACATGGGATTATTATCAGGGGGATTATTGTTATTACCAGTACGTGCATTTAAATCACCACATATCAGTACGTGAAAATCAAACAGTTCAGATGAATGTTCAATCAACCACTGTTCCAGTTGTTCAAAACTTGTTCTTTTTCCTGAGGTATCATAGTTGTTTGATCCATATGGCGGTATGTACATTCCAAATAAAAGAACATCTTTATCACAACCGAATAGGCATTTAGATAATTTTATGCAAATGGCATTATCAAAAGACAAGGGGATTGAACGCAATAAGAAGATAAAGCTTTCTTCACATACATATATACCCCACCTCACAGTCTACCATAATTTGCAATTTTATGAGCTTTGGCAAAGTAAATATCATAATCATTTAGTTCAGGAGCATCAACAGTTTTATCAAGGAAAGTTTCTAGTAAAATAACAATATCAAAGCTTCTAATATATTCAATGAATTCATTGTCCTCTAACTTCTTACGAAGACCTTCAATGTTCCATGACAAATTTGAGCAACTCTTATCACAATTGTTACCAGATCCAGGCTTATTATAATCATCAGTGTTATTACAGTCCGTTTGACTCCAAATGAGAACGATGAATTGCAAAATAACTCGAAATCCAGAAAAGTGTATGAAACATCAATACGGTACTTGACCATGAATACCCTGTACCCAACAAAACCTGAATTTTGTTTATTTTAAGACCCATGATGGATGAAGTTCTTTAAGAAACTATCATGTAATTTTGTATAGAAATGTGTACATGACACGTAGGGGGACAAACCGTGGAAGGAACAGCTCAAGCACGGTCTGCACGTGCTACACAGTGACCGTGTTCATTCAATGACAAGATGCCCTACTCAGCAGATGTTAAACAGTTGATGTTGAATGTGTATGATTTCTTTAGAAGTGAAGCAGAAAGAGCAAAGCCTTTTTATGCAATTATTAAATTCTTGAAACGAGGTTCAAAAGCTCTTGGTATGTCCCCTCAGAAACTTAAAAATGTTGTTAGTCAACGAGATACAAATAGTCAGGCCAAGGAGGTAGGGAACATGTCAAAACCACGCAAGGTTGATAAATTAGACAGTTTTAAGAGGGATCAAGTCAGACGTGCAATTGTTAAACTGCACTCAGAAAATAAGTACCTGTCCCTAAGAATTTTGAAGAAACACCTTGACACTGACCATGATTTACGTGTTACAAAGTACAAACTATGGCAGCTGTTGCATACATTTGGTTACAAATACAAAAAGATAACTGGAGAAAATAGGGCTGTGTTGTGTGAACGGTCTGACATTGTTCGTCTCCGAAATCATTACCTTCGTACCATCAAGCAGAAATGTGAAGAAGGATATGAGCCGCCTTCTTAGATGAGACATGGGTAAATGCGTCACACACAGCCAGCAGTCAGAGGGTACCCAGTGGTGACTGTAAGGAGTCTGGTAGAAAGTTACCAATGGGAAA